TTGATTGGTTAATGATCACGGGAAATCACGGGTAGATCTACAAAAATTAACCAATCATACGAATGTCTGCCCATGACATCTAGGGTATTACTTAATTGATCATACCTCTGCGGTGCGGCAGATTACCTGTAAGTATATGTAGGTAATAGATTAGATTATGCGAGATAACCACAGGATGCCAGGGTCATAGTTTTATTGTTAACAGTTTACACAAGAAGAACTTGAATAAACAGGAATCATTAGTGTGACCTTGCCTAAGTGAAAAAAAAAAAAACCAAAGATAGCACTATTAAACTCATGCCGAATTGTAAAAATTATATAGACAATTAAATAATCTAATTTAAACTCTATGCTAGTTACTTATTGTCTATATTGAGATATATAAAATATCTATTTTTGAGTAGAGGCCAAGTCTGAAATTTCTCTTGCAGTCCCACCTAGTTTAGTGCGATATTCTGCAACGTATTCTTATACTAGTGCTTGTTTCTGAGCAAAGTTAAGCAACCTATGCTTTTTCAGCTTCTGTAGATTTCAGTGTAAACACCATAACCTCTTGAGATAACTGATACAACGCTATTATTTAAAAGTAGATACGTACTTCTATACATAACTTTCCTTTTTCAACAGTGATTGTTGTTGCAATCAATCGATGGGAGTATACTATTTTTTCTACTTTTTGATGAAAATTTCGAAAAGTGCAAAGAGTGGAGTTTGGTGTAAGGTTTCAGTTTGTAGGTATCCTTAAACTTCAGTAGAGAGTATATTGAAAACTCGCTTGTTGTTCTTTTTAGACCAACTATCTTTAACTTTGTTAGCAGAAGCAGAGCTTCTATTAAAATTTTCTGTACAAGGGCACCACCTTCTCGCCAGTTATCTTATACAAAAATGCTTTTAATTTGCATACTGAATATACAAAGAAGTCTAGAAGAATAGAAACAAAAACCTTGACCTCTGTAAAAACCATTATTATAGTTATCTTTTCTATTTTTCTTCAACAAGTTTCTGTTTTCATTAGCTATAAGTTTGGTACAAGTAATCGTCAGGGGGCTAAATAGCTGATTTTGATTTTTTTTCCAAGATATTTTATATGTTTTTAAAACTTTTAGCGATGATTTCTCAACATCTACTAAATCAAATTTCACAAACTTTTTTTTCTTTTGATTCTACATAATTACTGAATTAAAATAAAGAAATTTTTACTAAATTTGATCAAGTAATTATTGAGAAATAATTGCTAGAAGTTTTAAAAAACCTTCAAATTTACTAATAGGATCTTCAAGTACTTGTTATTGGTTATGTTGTAGATGATAACCTATTACATACTAAGTTACTATATATTTCACATGGCGGAGCCATATGAAATATATGGTCTCCTACTATGTAATTTTTATCAGACACAATTTAAATGATAACATGGTTATTAGGTATATCTGACGTAAGCACCATTGTTTTTCATATATGTAATTGATTACTTTCTAATCACAATACAATTCTTTTATTTTTTCGCTTACATTTTTTTCAAAACAATTCATTAAAAAAAAAAAAAAAGTTTTATAAAAGCTTCGCAACTTCCATCACAAGAAGAAATTGATTGATTGCAGCAAGCCTCACTTGTATCAAATACTGAACGAAATATTTCTAAGTGGCTCCAGATTGTAGATAGATTTAACAAAAGTTGCGATATAACTCAAGCAATTGAATTAATTAATTCAGTTGATAAGCTGGAAGATTATTTGTGTAAATTTATTACCTGGTTACAAAAAGATGATGGTTCTGATTACAAAGTAGAGTTAGTTCATAATTGCTATAGTGCAATAAATCGTTACCTTAAAGAGTACAGTATTCTTCAGCCAATTAAAATCTGTGATCAGTATAGATTTCCACATGCATTATGTACTCTTAATGACAAAATGAGAACTTTACAGACAAAAGGGCTAGAAAATCCAAAAAAATCAGATGGATTGTCAACTGATGAAATCAAACAAATACTCGATCATCCATATATGAATACTAACAGCAGTGAATCTCTTATTTGTCGAATATTTTTCTGGTTGTGCTTACTCTGTGGTTTAAGAGGTGAGAATGCATATCGAATTTGTTAACAAGATCTTTAACATTGCTGAAATGGTGGGTTAGAACTTCTTTTGTACAAAGAAAAAAATAATCAGGGTGGTGCTTTTTATAGAAATAAGCATGATAAAACAGGATCGTGACATGTTTCTATACCTCCGGACTCACTTAATAACTGCTATACTCCTGTTAAGAATATTTTATTGTACTTATCTAAGCTACCCGATTTAATCATATCACAAGATCCACTTTTTCATGAAACCTGTAAAAGCAAGAAAGATTTGCAAAAAGATCGCTAGTATAAATCCAGCCATATAGGAGGTACAAAACTTAAAAAAATAATACATGATATTGTCGAATATACAGTAATTAATCTAAATAATAGGCGATATATTACAAATCACTCTTGCTGTTATACTGCAATTCAACTTCTGAAAAATAGTAGACTTTCTAAATCTGATCTTTAGACCTTTTCTGGTCATCGTTCTTGTGAAAGTTTGGCAGATTATTGTCAACTCAGTGAAGATCAGCATATTACTAATACAGCACTGCTAATTCCATTTTCATTGTATAAATTAAATTTGGATGAATATAATAATTATGAAGGTAAATACAGTATATTTTTTTTTGAGTTTGTATGATTTTAAAAAATTTATCTTTTCTTTTTTTTTTATTTATATTTTAAAAGATATAAGTGTAAATCAAGAGTATCAGGAAGGTAAATATGAACAGTTAATTATATTATACATAGTTAAAAATTTTAAAATTTTAAAAATTTTTTTTTTTGTATTTATATTTGAAGTAATTAAAGAGCAAGACCAAACTGAAATTAAAACGCAAAGCCTAACTGAAATTGATAAGCAAGGCCCAACTGAAATTAAGAAGCAAGGCCCAATGGAAATTGAGAAGCAAGGCCCGATTACAAATGAGAATCAAGGCCTGAAGAATTAGAAAGATATGTATACAGTAATTAATTATGCATCTGTCTGGTTAAACAATTTAAAAAATTTATTTTATATGAATGATCTAAACAAGCAGAAACAAATTTGAAAAGTATATATAATTAATCACAATTTTGCTTGGTTTAAACAATTTTTATATTTTGTCCTGATTAAAATTTTTATATATAGAAGTGAATTTACAATCAAAAATTTCCAAGCCAAAACACTATAACAAAGCACTTCTGTAATGGCTCCTTTAAACCACCTGTCAAGCCTGATTCTCCTTTTTTCAATTTGTATCATGATAATAAAAGAAGTCACTCTGATATTCACTGTAAGAATAAAAGAAGTCTCTTCGATATTAGTAATAATATCATCATTAAGCTTCTTCTGAGTACTTCTTCACAAACTTATAACTTAAATATCAATTTAAAACTCGAGTAGATTTATTTAATTTTCATGTAACTTATTAAATTTGATAAAATGCGATTAAAATTTATATGCTTTTAAAATGAGTGAAATTCATATATTTTCATATATAATGTGATCAAAGTTTGTATATTGTATACATATAAAGTGGTCAATTTTTGTATATTACATACATATAAAGTGAATAGAATTTGTGTATTGAATAATTAGAAAGTGATCAATAATATATATGAAAAAGTTCAGATGCGTATATAGGACATGCACAATAATGTTGTTTATTGGCTATTTTCTTTTTAGGAGTTTGTATTACCGGCACAAATAAATAAAGCAATTCTAAAGTGGAACTACTTTAGTATTACTACCAAAAAAGTATGAACATGTGATTTTTTTGTGTCACAAACCAATCAGATTTCAAGATCAGGTGTAATGTAATATGATCAGGAAAATTCAAAACAAATGTTTGTTTTGTCAAAAATTGCTTATAACTCAAAAATCTGCATAGGAAACCACCTTTCATGCATTAACAAAAAAATTTTTTTAACCGATTTTATTATTAAAACACTAAAATTGTAAACTTAACATAGACCCTAACCCAACTTTAAATGAACTTAAAGATTTTTTGATGCGATCATATATCTGTACTTTTTTGGTGGCGATATTGGGGAAAATTTAATGCAGATCTTCCCCAGTATCACTACCAAAAAAGTACAAACACGTGATCATGCCAAAAAATCTTTAAGTTCGTTTAAGGTTGGATTAGGGTCTATGTTAAGGTTACAATTTTAGTGTTTTAATAGTAAAATTATTCAAAAAAATTTTTTTGTTAATGCATGAAAGGTGGTTTTCTATGCAGATTTTTGAATTCTAAGCGATTTTTGACAAAACAAACGTTTGTTTTGAATTTTTCTAATCGTGTTACGTTACACCTGATCTTGAAATCTGATTGGTTTGCGCACTTTTTTGGTGGCGATACTGGGGTAGTTCTAAAGCGGATCTTCCCCAATATCGCCACTAAAGTTCTACAGACACGTGACCATATTGGTGGCGTACAAAAAAAACTTCAAGCTCGTTTAAGTTAGGGTTAGCGCTTGTAGTCTGTTAAGTATTGTCAAAGTATATAGTAAAATCTCACGAGGAAAACTTTTTGTTAGAGCACTAAAGGTGGTTTCCTATGCTAAATTTTGAGTTATAAGCGATTTTTGACAAAACGAACGTTTGTCCTGATCGTGCTACGTTACACCTGATCTTGAAATCTGATTGGTTTATGCTACAAAAAAATCACCTGTCCGTAGAATTTTGGTGGCGATACTGGGTTAATTACTAGATATCTATTTCGGATTGCGGAGGCAAATCATGTGATCAACTGCCAATAAAATTATAGAATTTTGGCAAAAAATAAAAACCAAAAACCCGAAAGATACAAAAAACGGCAGTCTAAACCTAATCGAGAACATTATTAAGAAATATGAGTGCCTCCGCTTTAGACGTTCCCTGAAAAAGGAAATTACTCTTGCACAAATTGCAAACAATTTTTTCTAAGCGTTACAGTATTATATAGCTTTATTATTATATTACTCATTGAGTTCTTAATTAGAATTACAATTAATATTTATATGTTATTAATAAATAGATAAATTATAATACTAATAAAAAGAACTTAAAACAAATTATGCTTTTTTATTCCAAGTATCCATTGCTGAACTTTGAACACCACCAAATCCATAAGTAGTTAAATTTGATGCTCCCGAATTAAACATGTTTTCATGAGTATTAATTGTTGTTATATTTGTTCTTGGTTGTTGAAATCCAAATTGACTAACCTGATTTTGACGTGGTTGCGATGAGTTATATAGTGATAGAATTGCGTTCTTATCAAATTTATTTTGCTGTTGTTGTTGTTGCAATGGTTGCTGCTGTTGCCATTGCTGCTGCTGTTGCCACTGTTGCAATTGCAATTGTTGCTGCTGTTGCAATTGTTGCTGCTGGTGCAATTGTTGTTGCTGGTGCAATTGTTGTTGCTGTTGTAATTGTTGTTGCTGTTGCAATTGCAATTGTTGTTGCTGTTGCAATTGTTGCTGCTGTAGGAATTGTTGTTGCCGTTGCAATTGTTGTTGCTGCAGTAGTTGCTGTTGTTGAAGCTTGATTGTCATATCTTGGGAAAAATTTATCATAAATTAAATGAACCGTTAGAATTGATTGTCAGACAATTACCAGAAATACCGCAATAATAATGATAATCCAAACCTGGCTCCTGAACTGGCTGACCAAACCCACCCAAAAGATCTACAAGATTTTGCGATTGTGTGGAAATCTGAGGCGAAGGTGTTGAATCTATAAGTGATTGACTTTGTGTCAATTGTAACTTGGATTGCTCTGGCTGAGACTTGGTAACAAAATTGGTATTTTCTGTTGTTGCAGATGTACGGGATTCAATAAGTAATGCAGCAGCAACCTCTATATTACCACCACTACGTCGAAGGGCATCTCGATTTTTGGCTTCATCATGAAATCCCATATTCCATAATCGGACTAACTTATCATCGCTAGATGCGAGTGAGTCTGTGGAGGAATGAGTCTGTTTTTTGGGTGTTTGTTCTTTGGAAGCTGGCTTTCCATTAGATAGACGGCATAATATTTCAATTGCAGAGTTGAGATCTCCATTTGTTGTAGATAAAACTTCTCGATTTTTAGCAGTATCAGTAAAACCCATATCCTTAAGTTGACGTAACGCATTTTCATTAATTCCTCGATCCACATATTTCGGTGAAGAATCAATTGGTTTACGTTTAGGTGGCGTTATCGATGAAGGAGATGGACTTTTCTGCACTGGCTGTGTAATTTATAAAACAAAATTCATTGATTCCATAAATTTTCTTGAATATATATATATATATATATATATAGAATCAATATACTAAGTCCGAAATTATAGCTACCTTACTTGAATTATTACAAAAAGCTTGTTTTTCATATTTATTGCGAATGTATCTTTCCATCTCACTATAATTTAAAACACATAAATACAAATATCAAAGATGTAAATAACTTCAATGAATAAGTTTACCTATCGGATGTATTAAACGGCACCGGATGTAATTCTGGATGTGGATTCCATTTTGCATTAGCTTTCAAATTTCCCCATTGTCGCATGTTCTATATATATATATAAATCAGATCAAATCAATTTGGAAAAAATTATCAATTGTTCTGATTTACCTCTATCTGTTCTGGCGTCCATGAATCTAACGATATTGATTTCACTTTGGAAATATGAGTTCCCATTTTGCGATGCAAGCCACCACAACGAATACAAAGGAAAATGCCAAGATTATGAGACGCCCAACGTGGCCCTACGGATTTTTTTTTATGAAAGCTTATTAGGAAACTTCACAAAGAAACTCAATTTAAATTTATTTAAGTATTGCTGACAATCAAATGTCATTTTGAGAGCTACTTAACAGTTAATGTAGAACATTACCTTTTACACCACAGTCTGCGCAGGAATCATTTCCTGGCTGCTTCGTCATTTCAAGCAAGATGCGTTCATGTTTTTCGTTGACCACTTTTTTAGCCCTATCCATTTTATTATAGTTATATTAATAGGATTTAGCGGTAGAAGTGAGTGTGAATTAAAAATGTGCTAAAAAATTCGAAATGTTAAACTTTGTAAACAAAAATGCGGGATATTTTATATTGAGATCAAACGTTTCACTAAGCCACTCGGTACGTACGTACGTACGTACGTATGTATATGGTTTACAATCACACAATAATTATCGTTATTGCAGTATTGGTGTTAGTCTAACGCTGATTTTTGATTACGTCGTACGTAGAAATATTAGAACCCTAGCCAAGCGGAAAACGAAGTGTCGGGTCATGTGACTTCCGAAGCATTCGATCTGATATTTAAAAAT